GAGGAAGCTCCGGGGCACTTAGAAATACTGTTGATGATATAAATCCTGCATTACCTTAAGGACCCTAAACTATGGGAATTATGGTATATTCCTTCTTATGGGTAATGCAGGATTTATATCATCAATCGTATGTCTTAATCAAAAAATAATCCCTCAGAAACAGCTGAACGTAAAATTTCGAGGGTCCCAAGTTTATTATAGGAAAGGTGGAAGGGCTTTTGTTTTTAAGGGGCAGTCGATGGCAGTCGACAGAGTGGTTTGATTGGCAAAGCTTACCTTGCTGTCTGAAGTTCACGGGCTCTGGCCTAAGGAGCATTAATCACGGCTGTGGGCGGGGGGGGGGGGGGGGGGNNGCGTTGTTTAGGGCAATCTCGTCACTAGTCCGCGCTTGAACTGGACTGTGTGGGCCAATGAAAGGTGTTTCAATCATTGGGGCCGGGGGCCCTTTGTTTTGTTGTCAGTTGAGTCACTGCGGAATTCAGCCAACAGGAGGGTTATTGGGTGTCTGCTGCTTGCAGCCCAGATGCAGATGAAGCGCAATGAGGGATGGACAGCTGCCGATGACATTGGTCCCTTTAATTTGTTTATCGAAGCCTTTGGCAGCTGATTAGCTAGAAGGATGTTTAGGGCTTTCGGGGTTTCGATTGAAGCGAAGCTTAAGCCTTAGGATAGCCTTCAGGATCGCTATGTTGAGCCATCCCTTCTGCTTCGGCGCTCTTGTGTCCGTATTTTCCAGAGAACGGACAGGCAACGGAGTGTACAGGACACCGCCGCTGCACGTGCTTGATACAGCGATGTGGGCGTGTTAGAGGCACCAAGAAGCCAATCAACTTCTCATCTCGTTGACATGGATAGATGCTAAATGAGGTTGATGGATATCACCACGATCAGCTTGCAGATTCGCTTAGCAGTATTTGGTACGTGGGCATGCACAGCAGCAGATTACATTGAGTTTGTAGCTGTAGGTCAACTGGCGACACAGCGGTAAGCTCCCGACGATGCATGCATGCGGGATGTTGTTGATGAGTGGAAGAATGTACAAAATTGTCTTTTCGTCAAGTGTACCCTGCCCGTGCATTGAGCACACGCAGCTCCAATCGAACGTTCAGCCTGTCGCCTGATGATTGTTGTCGCAGGGAAAACAGGCGACCGAGCTGCTAGTGCGTGTGGAGCATACTTCCCCTGAGCCTCAAGTCTAGAGTCTAGACCGAAAAATCATACAGCCCAGCTTCATGGGAGTCGGGCTTCTCCGGCTGGAGGCAGTTCCATTGCAACGTTATGTTCAGGTTTGTTGCAAGCTGTATGTCCCCAAAAGTCTTATGCACTCCAATCAAATGATCGGACATCGATATGTGTGAGACCTTTCGACATACTTCCGGATGTCCCTTCTGTGGCTGTGTTACACGATACTGGCTCAACTTGCCACGAAACGTCAACGATTGTTCCCAGTGCTGCTAAAGGTTTTTAGGATTTCCGTGACACATGCAATTTACTAGGTCGTGCAGTGGTTGTTCCATGTTGGTCCTAGAAGTTCTCATAACCGAGGAGCTCCCTGGTCTTGCAGCAGCCGATGACATGGTTTTCTGTCCGACCACCTTTTCTTGAGATGCCTGCGAGGTATCACGGTGTGCATTTGTGACCAACAAATGCATCTACTGTTCCGATTCGTTTCCTCACTACCAGTGCCATGTCCATAGGCTTCGTTTGCCTTCGCCTGCATCCGCCCTTGCGATGCGATTTCGAGCATCGAGGGGTAAGGTCTCCAGTGCTTGGGGTTTGCTGCTCCACAGGGTGTGAAAGTGGGCTAAGTGTATGATTGGGGGGATCCGTGCTTCAGGATGTGCGGTTGAGAAGCCCTAAACCTTAAGCCGCAAACCCTAAACCCTCGTGTTTTGCAAAGGCGCTGGAAATCTACTCGCTGTCCGGAGCTCATTGCTGCTGTAAACTTACGGCGGCAACGTGGGTCTAAGGGGGCTGTCGTGAAGGGTTGTTGGAGAGAAGGATCTCCTCTTAGGGGTCCTTGTCAGAGTAGACCCTTCCTAGACCTGCAAGGGCTTGACTTGACAATCGTTATAAGTTCTCTGTTGAATGAAAAACGCAACAACAACATCAAGTTAAATAGCTGCAAGCAAAGCTTAAGACCCCGATTTGATGATACCGATTCTTCGATGACTTGTCTTCGGATAGCTTGCAGGTACTTTGTTGAGAGGGTCTCAAAAATGGGTCTTTCGCTGACCTCCCTTACGGTACCAGAATCCGAAGCCCTAAGCCATTCAGCCCCGACTTCTAGAAGCCCACATCCCGAAACCCCAGCTTGCCCCCTAAATCCCGAAAAGCCCGCAGCTCTTTTCCTAGGCCAAGACCAAACCGAATGTGGCGCCTGAGGTCTCTTGAAGTGCATGCCCTGGAGAGCAGTTAAGGGGCTGATTGCTTAAACCCTAAACCCCTAAACCCCAAATCCTAAACCCTAAGCCCAAAACCCTAAACCCTAAACCGTTGGGACGGCCGGCTTTCGGGTTGTCAGGCTCCCGGCCGTCCAGGCTTCAGGGTTTGCGGAAGAGGATTTCGGTTTCCAGCTGCTCAGACCGTAGCTGTTCATTTGGGTCCCTGTATAATATAGGAGCCTTAATAATTAGAATAGGGTTTTGGGGCCCATTCTACTATAAGTATAATAAGGAACCCCCCAAAATAGTATAGGTAGTTATTTAGGCCCCTACATTAGATTCCGAAGGTGTCCGAAAGTAAAGACGGCAGCTTGGGCTTCAGGAGTTCGAAGTGTGGCTTTTGGGGGGTTAACTGTTTGTGCAAATCTCTCATGAGCCTAGAAGTAGAAGAAGGACTCCATCTTGTTGTGCTAGGTTTTCCTCCATAAGTGTTTATGCTTTGTAATGTGTACGGACCCACCCTTCGCCCGGCGGTTAGTTTGGGGTTTGGGAGTTCGGAGAACTTCGTCTGCGGGTTCTTGGGTAGCTGTGTCTAGGTTTTGTGGGTTAGTTGTTAGGGTCGTCAGAATTTTTGTGTAGGGGGATGCTCGGTCTCTCCCCCTCGCTCGCTCCTCTATTCTTGAAGCCTCTGCTTCGGGTTTGGGCCTAGCGGGCGCCATAGCCAGAGAAGGCTTTTGGGGCCTGCATATCTGGGATCCCTAACCTCTTTGGGTTTACCGATCAGGGTTCGACATTGCCCCAAACCTCTGCTGAGACTAGACCCCAGATAAGGACTTAGAAGTTGAATTTGGTAAACCCAAGCAATCCGATTGTTTTATGCTACTGCAACAAAAGCCCTCAACCTTCCGACAGGGATGGACCTTGCAGTATTCGCCGACTTGTCAGCCCTGCCATCCGGAAAAAGCCACTGACAAAATACATTATCATAGCCCGCGTTGGCCCCAAATCCCCAGAAGGGCCCCCATAACGCCCAATCTAAAATCCTTTAAGAGCCGATAAAAACAATCAGAAGCTCCTTCCAAAACAACAATAAGCAAAAAAACTAAACCCTAAACCCGAAAGCCAAAACAACAGGGAAAAAACCCAAAACAACAATAAACAACCCTAACCCTAGGGAAAAAACCTAAGCCCTCCCCTTACAGCCGCAAGAGATGCGAGGCTCCACCGGAGCGATGGGCTGTGCAAGAGTTGGCCCTCCATGAAGGCTTTACGGATTAGGGTTTAGGGTTTAGGCTTAACGGTTTAGGGTTTAGGGTTCCCTGAGCCCTGGGTTTGAGGGTTTTTGGGGTTTTGGGTTTAGGGCTTTACGGTTTATAGGGTTTAGGGTTTAGGGTTTATGGTTTTCATGGCCTGGGCTGGGCTTTCGGTGTTTCGAGTGTTGAAGGGGTTGGGGTTGTAAGGTTAGGGCTCACTTTGTGTAGGGTTGTTTAGGTCTAGATGGTCTTAGGATGGCAATTCTGCAGGCCCTGAATGTATATGTTCAGGTACGGTTCTCTGGATACACCGCACCGAATGAGCAGGAAGCTTTCTTTAGCAGCCCCAGCTACTTACCAACACGTCGTTGATTTGCGCATGCGAGATAGCGACTGCTTTGACACGGACGTGTCCGAGTCCATCCAGCACGATCTGTTCTCCTCTGGCTATCAGGTGCGGTGCCTGGCACGTTTTCATCAAGTGGTAAAGCCATCTCCGGGTATACTTAGAACTGAATTCCCTAGGGCTCCAAGCATACAAATATATGACCTACTTTGGGTTCTAAAGTCTGTAAATAGTACCTACTTTGGGCTATTTGGAGCCCCAGGGATTGGGCATACCACATGCAGCATCAAGGGAAGCGATGCGATGCTAGCCGACTCTAGGGGTCAGTAAGAGCGCAGGTCTGCCGTCTTCCCCCAACAAAAAAACGGTGTGCTGTGCAATGCAGTTGGGGTTTAGGGCTAAGGGTTTAGGGTTTAGGGTTTGGGGTTGAAGGCTCAGTCGGTGGATGGTACTTCCACAATAAGGAGAAGAATCAATACCATTGAGGCAAATGCAGAATACTTTGCGCTTCGCAGTGCTGAGCACACTGGTCACGAATAGTGGCTCCGACTTGCGAAATCGAGTCCCCAACAAATAATCGAACAATCAGCAGCTCCGAAGCCTCCAACCACTAAACCTTACTGAGTTTTAAGCCTTGCGAAACACTCCTAACAGTGGGTTTTGCTTCTGCATTGCGGATCTCCCTAAGAATCCTATATATAGAAAAAGGAGTTTCTCTTATGATTTAGGGCAGTACCGCCCCCCCACCCCCCTCTCTTTAACAGTACATGGATGGGACCCTTTGGGACCGAAGGACGGGCATCCACCGAGCTTGGCATTCGATGGTGCGGCCCTTAGTCCAGGGGATCCCTGAACTTGACCTAACTTAGGGCTCTAAGCTACAAGTTATATTAGGGCCTCCTTATTATAGCCCTCTAAGATATAATAGACTGTCTCCCCAAACCCGATTCTGATTCGTGATTTAGGCCTCTGATTATGTGTGAAGAGCCGCTTTTTGTTGCGAGTCGGTGCCTGCCAAATTTCTCCCGAGATCTGCCATGCGGGAGCCAAAAAAAAGCCTGAAGCCCCTAAACCAGCTGCTCTGCGACACGAGGCAGCTTAGAAACCAGTTGGCGCGATGCCTGCTTGGCTTGCCCAGGAGGCACTCGGCGTGAAGACAAGTCCGGATTTCGGGATGAGGCTTGCAAGGTTCTTTCAGGGTGTTCATTTTGCTTGGGCTAAGGGGCTTTATAAGGCCCCCTTTCTATGGTTTATGGATACAAGGGTGCGGCACGAGGCTTGAGGGGTTCGGGTTCAGGAATAGGGCTTTGCAGTTGGTATTATAGTTATCAGCAGGCGCCTACGGATTGAACGCTTCAATGAGCCAGGTTCAAGCCCCCAAGCTTTATGGTCAAGCCCACCCTCGCACGAGTTGTACCGTTGGGTGTGCTAGACACCTCAAAGGCCCTAGGTCAGAAACACTCATCCTCGAAATTCGATTGACTCCCTTTTGGTCAAACTTTTGGTTGGCTCTTAGGACTTTGCTTATTTGGCTTTCTTCTTCAGCCACAAAGCGACGCTAAATATTTAACCTTCAGGGGTGGTTCAGAAATCAGCCAAGATCGGAAATTTTGGGGCCCTCAAACCCTTATAGCCTAAACCATAAACCCAAAACAAACCCTAAACCCTAAACCGCCCCGTACTTCGCGGCGAGGCCTTTCCTGGTTAGCCCTCTCCCTGGTCTCTTCAGTCCGCATCCGCTGCATCCGCCTCTTTCAGGCCATGGCATGTCAAGTTGCCATTGGGGTGTCGGGTCTGGTTTAAGGGGCTCGGATTTGGGTCCATGAAGACCCCACACTCAATTCTAGCTTTTGGTGTTGGCACCGTCAGGGCTATACGATTTGATGGGCATTCGGTCTTTGTTTGCACATGTTTGCATTTTGGAGACTACTTGTTTCCGATTACAAACCTATAAAGCAAAGCCAAAACCCAAACCCTATCAAGCCTGCATCGTCCGAGTCGCGAGAGTCCAAACCCTGTAAACCCAAAGGGTCCTATGAAAATGGGGATACTTCCCTGAATCATAATGGTAACTCCTAATATAGAAAATCTACTATATATAGGTACAAAGAACCCTGAGGGAAAGCCTAAACCCCCTTACTAAGTTGCTAAACCCTATACCCTAAACAGCCTAAACCCTCCTTCGGTTCCTTGCGGGCACTTCGGTAGGATGCGAGCTTTAGCCGTCTCGCCTCCGCAGTGGTCTTGGAGAGTCCGGACGTCAGAGACGGGAATTCGACGGATTTGGGGTTTCGTTGAGGTGGGTCAGGCTTGAAATGAGGGTTTTAAGGGTTTCGGAGTTATTAAATCATGGCCTGGGTATGGGGAGGGGAGTGGGAATTTAGGGTTTTTTGTGGCTTCAGGCTCAGGAGCTCAGGGATTTGGATGATTCTTGAAGTACTTTACAAAAGGGCTCTGATTTCAGGGCTCCAGGGATTGAAGAAAACCATTAGGATTCTAGGGTTCGCAGGTTTTTGTCTGTTTTCGTTTGGTGGGCTTTGGGGTTTTGGGACGTGAAGTAAAGGAATCCAGGGCTTCGGGGGCTATTTTTTTGGAACCTTATGGGCTTAGATTAGAGAGCAGAGATTTTCGGGGTTCAGGCTTCTGAGGGCTTGACTCAGGTTTCATGGTATATGGGGAGTTGGGGTTTAGGGTTAAAGGACGCCTTGGGGCTTTGCACTCCTGTGTTTAGCCTTGGGATTTTGAGGCATAAAAATTCTTAACTTTCAGAAAGGTCTGTTGTGAGTCCCCTCTCCAGAAGGGACTGTGGTGAGGTGGAGTTCTTGGTAGTCAGGCATCGGCTTTTTGAGTTGTGACGTATGCAGCCATCGGATACTTCAGCTTAGCAGTGTCACTCTCTTAGTTTTTGGGCTGTCAGGGGTTTAGGGTTCTGGGGGGTTCTAGGTTCTGGAATGTTGGGGCTTGGGGTTGCAGGTCACAGGTCCATGGCAATGTCCTGGAACCCGATCTCACAGCGGCTTCAGCACTTCGTGAGCTTAAGGCCCGAAGTTCCTGTACAATATAAACTTTTATGAATGTGCATAAAGCTACATAAAAGCCAGTCCCTAAAGGGCAAGACTTGCGTTGCAGCCCATGGCCCTTACAGAGCGCCCCATAAACCCTTGCATCCGTCTTCTGCAGCTTTTAGAACCCTGAACCCTATATAAGCACACCCAAAAAGGCCCCTTCAACCCGAAACCATCCCCGAGAACCTGGACCTGAACCCTTGCTGCAAACAGCCCCATCATTATATATATATATATTTTTCTTTAAAAAAAATATGTACTTATTTATATGTATCCCTAAGCCCCAGGCCCGAAACCCTTAAACCCTGGCGCATGAAACCCTATAGACCCGAAATCAAAACCAAAAGCTCCAGGTTGGAACTCATCTGACTGGATCGTCGAGTCGACCTTCGCCGACCTTCAGGGTGGTGTCTGGCGCCCAAAAGCTTGAAATCCCAAGTTGGGGTAATTAGGTTCAGGGAATTTCGGGTTTAGGGTAATTAGGGTTTTGGGTGTAGGGAATTTCGGGTTTAGAACTTCGTAGAGGTTTAGAGTTTGGGCTTCGGGTTTAGGGAGGTTTGAATCCAAAACCCTACAAAAGCCTGCCCTGCATGGACACTGAGAGACCTTCCATTTCAGGGTGTTCCTTGTTTCAGCGAAAATTTCGTCCCTTCACCATTCCAACAATTTGGAGTCGGCGATGGGAGTTATAGGAGCCCAAAATGTACTGCTGTACTGCAACAAAAGGCTTAGTAGAGGCTTAAAGCTTATACTACTTTATGGTAGTTAGAAGTTGAGTCGAGGCTTGAGACTTACTACTTTACTGCAATCAAAGCCCTAGTAAAGGCTTAAAACGTAGTACTTCACTGCAGATAGAAGTTTAGTAGAGGCTTAAATCTTACTACTAGTAGAACGTGGTATTCGGGCACTACGGCTTCCAAAACCCGGATGTATATTCAAGGGTTCTGACGAATGTGTTTCTTCCCGCTTCTCCCCATGCTGGCTTGGGGCCAGTCGCCAATTTCAGCTCTTATACCTGACCCATAAACACGGAGGCCACAACCCAATAATCCTCAGGGCCCAGGTAGACCTACAGCTGTCTTGCTTGGTGGAGACCAGAGCCTGACCAAGGCCTGGGGCAAGTACAACTTGCGCCGGGGACTCGGTCCCATGAAGCTCTATAGCCCTGAAAGTCCTACAAGGACTTCGCCGGTCAGCACTCAGGGTCCCAGGCTTTTCAGAAGGATACAGCTCAGTCGCCGTAGTCGTCAGGTTGGAGGCATCGTAGTTTTCGTTTTCATCGCTGGGGTTCACCCTCATCAAGCCGCAACTGCCGCAAGTTTGCTCCTTTGCTCCCGGCACCCTGACCCCAGCTTCGACACCAACACTCCAACAGCGCTCAGAATCGACAAAGGTTGGGAGAGTCCAGCGGCTCGGAATCGATGGCGTTTCGTCTTGGCCTAGGGCTGAGAGCTCTGGGGTTTAGCATTTGCAGGGATGGGTTTCGACGGTTTGGGGTTTAGGTTTTCAGGGTTTAGGGTTCGGGTTTAGGGTTTCATGTTCACGGTCTGCGTGTGCTTAGAAACGGCGCTGCAAATGTGGCAAGTCCCTGGTACCAGAGCAAGTATAGCTACAGGCGCATGTTACGATACAGAGCTACTTTCCGGTGGCCTGGGATTGCGCAGGTAAGGTTTCACTCGCCAAAAGCCCAATATAGGAGATGATTTGGGGTTTGCATTGCCCCGCCTCACAGGCAACGCCGAACATTAGCCTGGCAATTGCGGAGCTCGCGTGCTTGTCTCAGCATACAACACCCAAACGTTCATACAGGCACCGGTTCCCTATTATCATTATATACTGTAGCTAATGTTCCCCACAAGCCCTATGATGTACCCCAAAGCCCTATGCTGCTAATTGTTCGGCCCCTAGAGAAATAGTGCCGCGCATGAGGCCTAGACAAGCCGAATCTCCATCTTCGCGCTAGTTCAAAACCCGGGTTTGTTCATGCTGATAAGGCAGTATGCTTAGCAGGTCCTTCTTGATTATGCTGCTCTTTCCCATTCGTTGGGTATTCCTTGCTATTCGCGGCATTCCTCCAGTTCGAGCCTTTTTCTTCAGACGTGCACCGGACCGATAATGGAGCAATGTTTAAAGGATTTCTTTCCTGCCATGCATGGCCTGCAGCCAGTTATATGCAAGAGGCACTCACCTTGATCCAGCCTGTTGACTTCTAGCAGACTTTCGCACCCCCAATCATTTCAGCTCGCGATTTCTTCAGAGTCTTAACGGAGTCTTATGCAGACAGAGGAGGCGCTCGAGTTCGGTCCAAAGCTTTCCTTCTTAGTGATGCCGGCAACAGTTCAAGACGCCCAGGTCCCCATTTCAAGCTTTACATTCTGGTACGTTCAGGGGTCTGGGTTTCTCAGAATTTCCCATGCTTCAGGGGATTGGCCGTGCGAGGGTCTTAACTGCAGTAGCTTCTTTGGAGTGCGGGCTCGGAGCTCCTCAGAAGTCTCACAAGTCTCCCCGCAAAAGAGCCCCAGAAGCCCAGTACCCATAATTCGGAGGGCTGCTGATGCTTTCAATCTTTATAACGCTCTCTAAGGAATAGTTGACGCTTGCTTCTCCTGTAGCATAGTACCCTTGTGTAAGAACCCTTACAGTACCATTCGAGTAATCCTTCCTAGACCCTCCATCTACCCTCTATTAGACCCTAAATCCCCTTGATTTGGGACCCTTTACCCCTATTTGAGGGTACTTGGAGGGTCTTGGTTCACAGACTCCCTCTAAAAGTAGTCCCAACCCCCCAAAAAGCCTATGTAGAGCCCTTCCTGCTGCATAGTACCCTTCTAAAAACCCTTATAGTACCATTCGAGTAATCCTTCTAGGTAGTCCCAACCCCCAAAAACCCTGTAACCCTAAACCTAAACCCTAAACCCTAAACCCTAACCCTGTAGAGCCCTGGCCTTGCGAGCAGGTTCTTTGCAGACCTCGGTTGCAGCCAGCCCATCGCGGGCATTCCCATCGCCAGTGCGACGCGCATCGGTGCTCTGTAGGGGTTTAGGGTTGAGGGTTCAGGGTTTAGGGTTTAGGGGTTTAGAGTTTAGCGTTGAGGGTTAGAGTTTAGGTTCAGGGTTTTGGATTTATAAGGGTTTAGAGTTTAGGGTTTAGAGTCTAGGGTTTAGGGTTGAGGGTTTAGGGTTCAGGTCCGGTTGGGCCCACTGCCCAGCCGAACAGGATCAGAGGCTGGGTTCAGAAAGGGTTTAGGTCAGGATCCGCAGGGTGTAAAAAACCCTATAAGCCCGGTAAGCCTAAACCCCGAACCTAAAGCCTATAAGTCTATAGCCTTTAGGCTACCTTAGGTTCGTCCTAGCCAGGCGGGAGGCAAAAACATAAGCCCTCGACCCCCTTTGAAACCTGCACCTGTCCATGACTGTCCTTGGAGGATCCCGAAGCAGAACTCACCTCTTCACAACCTCACGGGATCGGCCCTAAATCGTATGGTATTTCGTCCATGCCAGGCAGCAAGGCAAAAACACCAAGTCTTACAAGCTGAGCCGTAAAGCTCGAATTAAGCCATACAGATGCACCCTTCTGTTTAAGACAGGGGAGTGAGTATTCGACATCCGGACCTCCGAAGCATCCGCTCTCCAAGTTCTCCAAGTTTAGCGAACTCCGCATTCAAATGCCGACGGTTGGGACTGTTGGGGAAGGCTCGGGGTTCTGAGGTTTCAGGGTTTTAGGGCTTAGGGTTTAGGGTTTGGGGTCGGGCAGTTGGTTCAGAGCTTGCTGTCTCTTCTGCATGACCTTCCTGAAGGCTTCAAGCCTCGAAGCCTCAACCCTCGCACGTCCTTGAGCCCTGCAACCTAGGCCATGTGACTTAAATCCCCAAAGGGTCCTAAGTACCATATATACATAAATAGAAGGATGTAGGGTTACTAAATTACTATTATGGTTTGGGTAAGTACCCCCACCATATATAGGTACTTAGGACCCTTTGGGTTACGATCTTCGGACACTTTCTGTCAACCTCAGTCTGGAAGCTGCGCTCCTAAGGTGCTGCGGCATACGATGCTTTCGATGGTGATGTTTGTCTCTCAGTCCGATTCCCTTCGTGCTTCGAAACAAAGGCTTATAGACTCCATCCCAATTATAGGACATTGTGGATCTTTCCTTGAAGGTTCAGGGCCCGAAAGATCTTCAGAGCAAACCATATACACACTTTTTTGGGGCCGTTACGCGCAAGAAAACTGTCTGGCCAGGCTTCAGCACAACTGCACCTGTAAGCCCAACACCACTGCTGTAAGATAGATGCCGAAGTATTTACGAATACTACTCTTCACAGTTCCTTGTTGTTAATGTTCGACTAAACCGCAAAACCAATTCGTAAGGCCCCTAAAGCAAGGATGCCACCTCCTGGGTATCAGAGTGCCGCGAGTGCGCCGTCGGGGAGGCGGCCCTTGCTGTGCTTCCTTTGTTCGCGAACCCGTAGTTTCTGTCTTAAAAGGAGTTGTAGGAGCCGGTACCAAGAGAAGTAGAATGGAGACGTCTCCGTCGTTCCCTTCTAAGGGCAATCATCTTTTTCGGTGATGCTGCTTGATAGAAAACCATGGCGCCGGTACAATAAGGCTGATGAAACTGCTGTCGGAATTCGAACTGGTGCTGAAAAATCTGCACCCAGCACCGATCTTCGGACGTATTGACGTGGAATTTGCGAGGATCTTACTCCCAGTCCCGAAAATAACCTGGAACTGATACACTGATACAACACAAACCCTGCCGCCCCGATCGCGAAGCCCCTAAGCTCCACGCATCGGAAGGCTTGGATTGGACTTCATCTGGATGTGGCATCCGACGTTGCCTGCGCCGGTCCCAGAAATTGCTTGCGGCCACGCACGTTGGAACACCGTAGGGGTGCCAACGTAGAGGCATAAAGGTCTGAACGATCGGTCGTGGCATCTCCTCTAGTATCTCCGTAAAGTCCTATAAACGTCTCTATGATCGACTTGTTCGTGTAACAGTGTAAAAAATATCCAAAACCATCATTCGAAGGATCGTTCATGCCCAAATGGATGAGGGTTTTCGGATCTCGCCTGTTTGTCTCCAAGGATTCGTTGGTTCGGGGCTTAAGATGAAGTTAAGGTTTATAAGGTTTGTAAACAAAAAAAAGGTTTCTGACTGGTCGGTGTTTGGCTCTTAGCATCAGGCACCAAGGCTTTTGGTGGTCTATGGGCTTTATTAGGGCTCTGCGCTCAGAGTCAGGGGTTTTTGGGTTTTGAAGATGCAAGCTTCAGGGTTTTAAGTCCCTTAGTGTCTATACCTTAGCCCTGGAGCATCCAACGTTAAGTTCTGCCGTGGGGTCCAGTACGCACACCTGCTGTCTGTTGGATCACATGTGATTTTTGTAGGTTGCGGGGATTACAGGCAAACCCTAAACCCACAGCCAGTGGCTTTCATAACATGCTGCGGGGTTTTAGTTAGGGTAGAGTTCTTGCTCGGACGGTCCGCCGTGGGTACACAGACAGTACACAGACACACCGCAGCGTGTGGCTTCCATTTCTTGCCTTGTGGATGCAGGGTTTCGTAGCCGCTGAGACGGTTCGTGTGTGTCCAAACCCGTACACCTGGAAACAGAATATTGTTCGGACTGAAAGATTCATACTACTCTGGTTTAGGGTCTGCTAGGGTTTGAATACTTTAGGATCCACTCCAGGAGGGTTGGGGGGGGGGGGGGGGGGNNTACTGGAAGGTGCAAAGGCCCATGCGTAGTTCTAAGACGAGCTAAAGCCATGTGCTTTAGCTGCAACTGGTAAGGGTACTTCTACCCCAACCGATCAACCTGCAAGTGTCCCCATACCCTCAGCTTTATACCCGACATGCTGAGCCAGAAACTCTGCACCAACTAACCCTTATCGCCACTCTCTGCTTCTGACCCACTCACGTTTTCAGCCTACGACCCGAGACTACGAGACAAGCGGTTTAATCTACCTCCTGGATGTTGGGGCTTCAAAGCTTAGGATCATGGAATTAGCGTGGAAATTCGGATCCATCGGTTATAATTCTCAAAACTACGACTCCTGTGGTAGCTCTTACGTATACTCAGGGCAGGTGGCTATGAATCACCTGTTTATCAGTCAAGCGACACATCGGGCCCCCCAAGCCAGAGAAGGCACCTCGCTGCTCCTGGCCTCCGCTCCGGCACGCCGGTTGCAGGGTCTTGGTGGTCTTGCACCAGGTGGCCGGGCCCTTCGTTTCTTGGAGACGTGACGGGCGAAAAAAATGGGGGTCGGAGTATGTAGTGATACTGTCCTTTGGTAGTCCCCGGTTAAGATGATCACATACCGCCAAACCCTGTAGTCTTCTTGTTCAGGCCCCGCTAGTCATTAGATATGGGATGAGCTCGGCTTGTTCACACCTGACCGGCTGGGTAACCCGGAGGATGCCAATTCCTGGGTCGCATGGTCACTGCGGGCAGCGGTTCTGGGCAATTTTCTGTCTAGTTATACTGTACAGTACCCACAATATTGTAGCCTAATTGTAAGTCTGGCTAGCAGGATGTCCCTATCTCCTTCAATGTACCCTAATCCGAACCCTAACCACTCAAACGAGAACTGCTCACGCCAAGCGTAACCCCAACACCGGACCTTCAATCATCAATCTCGAACTCAATGTCAAATCCAACGATTGAAGTCGACAAACCCTGAAAACCAGTGTCTCAAGCTCTGGAGACCCTCAACCGGTCCCAAATCTGCCGCAAACTAGCACCACATTCACATGTGTAGTTCTCTAAGCTCCGGTTCCCTTTTAAAAGGAGCCCAAAATCAAAAGCAGGCGACATCCTCACAAACAGGGAACCTCATAGTGACCTTAATTTAGAGAGCTACACACATAGTCCTGGAAGAAAGCCCAGTTCCTTCCTGCATTTCAACGCGAAGCTTTCAAAGTCTTAAGGTGTTGGTAACTTAGTGGGCCTTAATAATTTGGATAGGGCTTCGGGGCATATGATACTATAATTCTGATCAGGAACCCGAAAAACCCTACAATCTGGTCGACCCTTGTATGGCCAGGAATACCAGCCTTGGGTGACCCAATAGAGCTGGACTTGGATTCTTGGCTAAGCACCAGGGTTTCAGATTTGAAAAATTTGGAGTTTAGGGTTTGGGGTTTCGGATTTGGGAAAATTTGGGGTTTCGAGTTTTGGATTTGTGGCATACGGTGCTGGACGCAGTGTTTTCAGGTTGTAATTATTACTTTGGGAGGGTTTTCAGCCCCTACATGAGTAGCATAAGTTGTGGAGCATATTGGCAACTCGAATTTTCTATCGCACAGTTCATCTTGAACTTCCCATTACACGCTCCAGCATGAAACTCTATGTAAGCCGTATGTTTAAGCCCCATATTGGACTGCCAACTGCGATTCCACTGCATGAGTGGGAGACCCTGTGCCCCCAAGACTCGAAAAAAAAACCCTAAACCCTGCCATGCGGGCTCGTCCTTGCTAGGTAGGAGGCACAGAAGACCCTAAACACTGATCACTTGTGGATCCTGCTCCTCAACCTTTAGATTTGGCACCTTTGAATATCAGGGGACAGTGCAAGTACATGAGGGGACCGTTTTTTTCTACTTTAGTAGGGATGTACTTCGAAGCTTCGGAGGAAGAGACGAGATGGTACAGGAGGCCGCCATGTCGGAAGTTCATTCGGAAGCCCCAGCTTGTTTATATCCGATGGTCGTGTTGTAGTGAAGGTTCCGTGCTTGGTGCTGTTTATCAACTTTCCACATCGACACTGTTGTTGCAGAGCAGCAGCGTTCGTCTTGGAGATGAAGCTTCATCATCCCGTCCCACGAACCTCAAATCCCACAGGGCCCCTGTTGACGATTCAGACCGAGAGTGGTGCCGGAAGCTAAGAGAGCAGGCCTGAACCTAAGTCCCAAATCCCCCACCTAGACCTGAAACCTATCCACGACGCGACGGACCGGACCGACAACTGAAGCCTCACTCTCTTTCTAGAGACACGAATATATAACTCAGCCCGAAGCTCTAACCGAAAAAGCCTGAAGCTTTCAACCCCCAAACCCGGAAACCTTGGACTGCAGTTATTTAAGCCATCAGCACAGAGCCAACTCAGCTTTTGAAACCTTCGGGTTCTAGACCCCAGGCCCGAACATTCTCATAGACAACACATGGAGTATCCTTTATTGGGGCCCTTAAAAAGAGAAAGCCTAAATCGGTGCCCCTTTTTATTCATGGGACCCGGAAGCCCAAGCAGAACCGAAAACAAAGGAACTTTGGAACTCGACGAGCTGGGCCGACGTCTCGACCGTGCCTGCTCTTCTGTGCACGGTTTAGGGTTTAGGGCTGCGGTAGGGAAGGGTGGTAGTTGGGGGATGTACCATTTCAGACATACACCCGTGTGTACAGGCAGAGAACCGGAGACAGACTGACAGACAGACAGTCAGACCGACAGAGCGACAGACATGCAGACAGATGCCATAGACGTCTGTCTCATTGGTTACGCTCGTGGACATGTTTCGGCTTGCACGAAGGATATGGAATTCGTAAGTGGCCGCCGATGTTGGCATTGGAGACAGTGTACGTAAAAAGTGTTGAGCTATACGAGTGAATCGAGGGTTCGTCAGCATGAGACAATGGCTGACACAGGCATATCCCTTACCAGTTTGCCACTCTCATTGTTTCGATTGTTGAGGGAGGATGATGTAGGCTTTGTGGTCGGTCAGTCGCAAGATCTCGAGAATACCATTACTACGGGTTTGGTTAGAGTAGTTAGATTCGATTCAATATGCGCTACACGCTATTAAACTGTGTTCAGGGAGACAAGCACTTGCTTAAGCTATTTAAATAAATATTCTTGCAGTTTAGGCTCCACCGCATTGGCCCACATTGGCATGGTTTTCTTGGACTAGTTAGAAGACACCCGCATATATCAAAACATACAGTGGATCATCGTACATATGTTATAATATACTATATGATTCAGCATTCTGCATAGACTATAACAGGCCATAACGCGGATTCGCTGAATTCGTGGATCCTTCAGGTTTGCAGGCTTATTGGTTTTGCATCAAGACTTCGGTTGTAGATTTCTTTGGAGCTTTGTCATGGTCAGCGCCGACAGGGACGGAGATGCTCTGGGGGTCGTGCTTCGGATGTTTTCGTGGTGGATTCTGCCCTTCTCGTTGAGAAGTGCCGAGGCTTCTGCACACTGTTGGGACAGTTCGTTCAGCGCTGACCGCTGCTGTCCTGGCTTTGGCGGAGATCCATCCTGTTGGCATGGGCATCGATCCTGGCATTTCTGTTGCCTGTCAGATGGCGACATCTATGACTATTCGAAGCTTTCGGGATCACTGGCCCAAGCGCCAGCTCTTCACTGGGACAAGATCGATGTGGACTGCCTTGGGCGAAGAACCTGGGAAAACCTGGCCTACTTGCTCAATGCAGATGCATCCCTCAAGAGTGGACCAGACGTGCTCGAAGAGGAAGTCGTGGCACAAGAAGAACTGGTAGGATTTATCATGGCAGTGTCTCGACATGTCTTTGCCATACCCTACTTGGGATGGCTGGATTGCCCCGTTGGTTTGCTATCACTCGCAGGATATTTGTTCGCTCACGAAGCAGAAGGTAACTGGCGAAGTGCGTTTAAGCACATGTACAGGTCTATTCCGTTAGACCTCATGCTTGCATCACGCTGGCCGATCTTCCAGCAGCTAGCAGATGTCAACTTCAGAGAAGCACGCAGGTCTAGCCTCCCTGTTCAGTCCCCTCGCACTTCTGCCCTCTATGGCTTGCGTTTCATGCACATCCCGAAGACTGGTGGAATGACGGTTACGTCCTATGCTGCAAGGCACGGGCTGCTAGTGTGGCTTAGTCCTTTTGAGGCCAAGGGCATTGCGTGCCAGGCGAAGTTCCACTGCTCTGCCGACTTCTGGCCGTTTCTGTCAAAGGATACCTTCTGCTTTGCGAGGAATCCCTACTCCCGCGTCGTAAGTGCTGCCCGGCATCGCGGCATCACCAATGCAACTCAACTCAACAGTTGGGTCCGGGTGCATGTTGGGAATGCATGGAGGGACCGGGACGTGCGGAACCACAACATTGTCTTACCCGTCTCCGCATTCATCACAACAAGAACCGGAGAGAGAATGTGCTCGAACGTGCTCCGAACTGAAGGCTTAGCCAGCTCCTTCTGTTACTTTCTGTCCCAACGTGACCCTTCCGTTGACCTTTCGGCTTGCTGGTCAGAGCTGGAGTTCTTCTCGCCCGACCAGGCTCGTCGTCACAGTTTGACAGCTGGTGATCTGTCGAACAAGTCCATAGCACTTATCAACAAGGTGTTCGAGAAGGATTTCTACGAGTTTGGTTATACGATGTGGGGGCGGAAAAGGATTGTGCAGCTCTTGATTTGGCATTCTGCGAATCAGACCACCTTCGAACACGGTCAGTCTGATGATAAACCTTGTGGCTACAGTATTCTCTAGCTATGCTCCATGAAGGTTAGTTGCGGTAGCACTTGCATAAACACGGCACAGCCTGAAAACTCGGAGCGCTAAAGCCCTGAATCCCTACAGCCCACAAACCGAGCGTCCCGAAACCCGTCCTCCTCCCGAGCCGCAACAACAAATATAAATCGAACAAACCCTAAACCCTAAACCGCAACTTCCGGAAAAAAACGCAACTCGGTAAGTGAAGGTCTCTGCGTCATCTTCGGTGGCCCTTCGGGTCGGAGCCCGTGGTGCTTCGCCAGAGACCCGACTTCTCGCTTTTGCTCATATTTTGTGTGTGTGTATATATATATATATAGACATACTAACACTCATAATATGCATTTATATATGCACATACCCACACACACATATGCACATACATACATATATAACATAGAACACAGAGATGTACATGACATAACTACATGGGAGTGGCGGGGAGAGCAGGATTGAGGGCTTAGAATTCCTAGAGGGGTTTTGGAGTGGTTCGGCCGGTAGGGACTGCGGCGGTTGAGCCTTGAAATAGTATTTTTCAATCCCCCAGAGACCCAGAGGGCCAACCCCAAACACTAAGCTACTGTAAACGTTTAAAAGCCACACTCTATACCCAAAGCCAGTAGCCCCAAAGCTGAACACCAGAGCTGAACACCAGAAAAGCACCCCCAAACCTTAAACCTTCACCTCTGCAAACCCTAAACACCCGAAACGCCCCGCGGCTTGAATACCTCGAACCGGCCGGTGCTCCAAAGAGGCCGCGCTTGGCGGCAGAAGCCGTCGCGCCGAGCCGAGCGCAACGAGCTTGGCTTCTTGTGGTAGAGTTTAGGGTTTAGGGGTGGTAGAGTCTAGGGTTTAGTCCAAATGGTTTACGGTGGTTGGGGATCACACGGTTTGGGTTCAGTGGTATAGGATTTGTAGAAGGCTTCAAGGGCTTATGGCCGTTTAGGAGGTTTAGGGTGTGCAAGGGTTCTGGCTTCAGCCAGCAGTTTGAAGTTTTAGCTTTCGGCGGGCGGGGGTTAAGAGGTTTTGTTGTTGAATAGGCTTGTTTTGCAATGGTTCTATGAGGGTTCGACTGGGGAGTTGTGGCCGTTTATGAGGTCTAGGGTTTTTGGGCTTTAGGGTTTCGGATGGTTTCGGGGTTGGGTTTTAGTGGTTTGAGCTTTAAGGAGTTACCGGTTTAGAGGGGGTGTTGTGAACTTCGTGTAGTGTTTAGTCACGTCTCTACCGTTCTACAGGGGCTGGTTAAGTTTTGAGGGCTTGGGGTTTGGGGCAGAGCAGGGAATGTGCTGCTCCCCTCCAGATAATCTTACCGTGGCAGTCCTGGCTCCTATGGATCTAAATCCTCCAGCCTAAATCTTTAACCGAAGGCACTTTAACCTTTAAGCCCTCTAAGCCCTAAGGTGGAGAATCGTCACCGCCGCCGGGACGTCGGCAGCTAAGCATCCCAAGTCCACTGTATCATGCGATTGATGATGACTCACTTTGGGTTGTGGGTTCCCTCAAACCTTCACCCTGAGCCCTGCGAGCCTGCAGGGGGCGTATAAGTAGGTGTGTTTGCACCCAAGATGACAGTTTTGTCACTTAAACCGGCAGGGTTGTTGGCCACTTGTTGAGTTCGATGCCTTTTGGGACGTGAGGGTAGGACCGTCAACAGGCGCTCACGCTTTCCCTAAACACGGCTTGTGACAACCAGGGTTTTCGTCATGGCATAAACTGCATAAACCATACCAGATTTCAAAGTCGCAAATGCTCGGCCACACACGAAGCGCCTGCCCTGCGCGCAAGGCAGAGTTTTACTTACACCCCTCTCCCCCCAGGACATATGGAGAGTAGGTTTCGGCCAGCCAGGACCCTCAGGAGATACATATATATATATACATATACACACACACATATATATGATTATATATGTTAGTGCACAGTGCGCATGCCAGGTTGCCTTAGGAAAAGCACCCAATCCAAGGCAAAGGTGCTCAAGCAGTCGGGGGCAGGGGTGTAGGGCTGAGGGCATTTCCGGGGCCGGGGGATGCCAGGGAGGCAAGGTCTTAGGGTCTGACTGCTGTGTTGTGGGTCGAGCTGGGCAGTAAGGGCAGCAGTCGGGTCCCTTGTGAAAAAGCAGGGTTAGGGATAAAGGTTTTGGGGGTTGGGGATAGAGGCTTCAGGGGTTTAGGTTTTCGGGTTTAGGATGGAGAAGCAGGCCATGACATAGCGGTTATGATTCTGCATGCTCACCGTCCGGCTTCGGACAGAACTTTGTGCCTGCAGCTGTGATGGGCCAAAGCCCCATCCAGGTTTTAAGCCTACTCCCGTAAACCCCTCACGACGGCGTTGAACCAATGTAACCTTGCAAGATTCGATAATTACCTTGAACCCCTTAGTCCTGTGCAGCCTCGCCGTATGCCACAACAGGACAAGTTTCTGATCCGAGCTACCTGTATCCAATTCAGATACTGCCTGAGTTTTCACATATCATATGTAAAAGTTTACACTACGGTGTTGTCCTTGAGCTGTATGAATCGAGCCGGAACACCCTGAAGCTTGCTCGATCCCGCACCACCCAAAGGGCAGCAACCAGTGCCAGTTGATGGTGGTGTACAGTTTAGGCCGGCTTTGGGTTCTCTGCCGGGTCGTCATGATTTGCCAGTAAGGTTTAAAGCTTAAGGATGTTTTAGGTTTAACTTTTAGGATGGTTCAGGTTTAGGATTTAGGGTTTAGGGTTTAGGGTTTAGGGTTTAGGGTTGCGGAAGGCTTGGTAGCAATGCAGCACTGTGTTGCCGATGCTTTGGCACGCGCGGCCCAGTCAGCCACCAGCCAAGAGGCCAGGATAGTTCCCAAATATTTAGAACTACCCACAGGCCCCTAAGTAGTTCCTTTTGAGGGTTCATAAGTAGAATCCTATAAGGTAATCCCAAAAAGGAACTACTAAGGAGCCTATAGGTAAATACACAGATCTGGTATTTCATTTGCGTTGCAGGCCCTGGGTCGGATCGTCGTCGTAGTCGTATATGTAGTCGCAGTTGTCGTCGTGGTGGTTGTGGTGGTGATATGTATATGTATGTTATATATATATATGCATGTATCTATGTATGTATGTATGCATGTATGTATAGATGTATAGATGTTTAGATAGATAGATAGATAGATAGATAGATAGATACTATGACATAGATACATAGATACATAGATAGATAGATACATAGATACTATGACATAGATACATAGATACATAGATAGATAGACACAGTGAATGGTGTTTTTGCCATCTGTGATACCGGCATACTGAGCATTTGCATCAACTGCCGGGCGCATACGGTGCTCAACTGACAAGCTACGCGGCCGAAGCCTTGTGAAAGTCCAATCTGCTAGCCGTTTCGGCCAGTGGGCAGTGTAGCCTACACTCACACCCGGCCTTCATGGATGTGGCAGGGAGGCAGAAGCAGCATGCGGAGTTTCTCTTCATCAGGGACAAGAAGTTGATTCGTGTCTTTGCAGCTTCCGGGTTTGAAGTGGCTTCGATACCCTCGGACGTCCTGACGGACGTGCGAAGCCTCAAAAAGCAGCTACATGGCATTTGCGGATTTCCACGATTCAGGCAACGTTTGCTGCACAATGCCTCCATTCTGCAGGACCAGATGAAGCTCGATTCCGAGATGGATCTGCAGCTTGTAACACTGCCCTTCGCCCCTGTTCCCATGGTCGACCAGATGAAGCCGTACCTTGCCACCGATTCCGGTGACCTGGAGCAGCTAGAGGAGTTTCTCCAAAGACCAATCGACCCAAATCTGCACACGTTTGGAGATCAGGGTGGCCTCACACTGTTGCTTTATGCAGCATACAAGGGGGGACTGGAGGCTGCAGAAATGCTTCTGGAGGCGGGTGCTGACCCAAACCTACCCGGTGGACCCAACAAGGACACTCCTCTCGGAGTTGCTTCCTGTGCAGGTGGGGGCGGTAAGTTATAAGCTTTCTGCAAGTATTGTCTCTCAAACGGGAATTTATGGTAGTCGGGATCCTTACGCTAAACAGAGCCTCAGTTCGAAACAACCCCGAGGTGATGAGAAGATGGTTCGCCTTCTGATGAATGCCGGTGCCGACAGCGACCAGGTGTGTGGTCGTTTTGGCGAGACGCCACGGAGCATTGTGTCCGACAAGGGGCACACAAAGCTCTTGCACCTATTTTAATCGCACTGAATTAGATACAGCATGGCTTGCCAACAAAGTTGACACAGCCTGTTTGCAACAGATGTGCAAACATGCCTCTGCAAGCAAACGTGTACCGTGAGCACAGTTGCAGCCCCGAAAAATACAGAGCCCAGCATCCGCGCTGTGGAGATATGCCGGATTCGACAAAAACCTGCAACCCGAGTGGTTGGTCGAACTAGAGCTAGGTGTCCTTACTCTATTTATAGCCCCACGCACATGCGAATGCATGATCCTCCAACAGCCTCCTTCAACCACAAAAATTCGACACCCCGACGGGTGTCATTTACTCGAGTTTGGGGGCGGGGGGGGGGGGGGNNTAGCGAAGGTCCGGGGTTGTGGACTTATGGTTGTGGGTGTTGGGGACTGTAGTTGGTGTTTATAGTGATTGTCTATAAGCATTCTAGAAATAATTGGGCGGTGACTGGATTTCTGAAGTGAGCACACCACACGAGTGCAAAAGGCCTGTTGCAATTGGTGGCACCATCGAAAGCATTTGAGCCCCAAGCCCTGGTCGTAGCCAGGCGGGAGCATCGAAATTAAAATACGGCACAGGCACAGTTGCTGCTTGCTGGCGCCCTGCGCAGCTGTGCGGAAGCCGCTGCTGTTTGTGCCACGGGTGTCCTGCACCCCGTGCGGCCGTTGAAAGTTTTGACAGGTTTTTAGATTTTGTTTTGAGTTCCAGGCTCAGTTGAATTCGAGGCTCAACAGGTAGAGGATCTGGGCTATCCAGCTTTCACGCATGGAAGAGTTCCACACTCCCAAGATTTTGTGGGCAATGTGCTTTACTATTTACCTCTTGCAGGCTTAACTCGGGTTCAAGCAGGCAGGGGGCTGCGATAGCCTCGGCTTCCAAGGCTTTCAAGATTATGATTATTATTAGTACTATTATCATGATGATTATTATAATTGGGGTTTAGGGTGTTAATAGGCTCTAGGGGTGTGCTAGAGTGAGATTTGAGAGCGTTGGGTACGCGCAGTACTGTTTGGGAGTTGCCCAGCAGGTTGCTTGAAGGCCAGCGAAGAGTGATGGAATCTTTTGCGCATGGGTTCGCTGGGCTTCCCGAAGCCGAACAACAGCCACACAGTGCAACACCACTACATCCTATGGCCAGCTATCCTAGTTGGAGGTTTGGAGGAACATGGGACACAGATTGTCGGCAAGGAACCCTAAACCCTACACCCTTATCGCCCTAGCACGCACTTGCAAGACCCCTATACTAAACCGTAGCCCCTCGAAGAGCCGATTGCCACGTATCCCAACACCCCCCCTCAACCACACAAACCGAACTAAGGGGATCCTAAAATTTATATGTCTTTCATTGAAAGCTTAAATTCCCAAAGCCTGAATCTCTGCACTCGGAAATCCAAACCCTAAAACCTTAAAATCTCTATTTTTGAAATTTTTTTGAAAACCCAAACCCTGCAGATCCCTCCCGTTCTTGCAGCGGTTCAGGCAGAGCCAAGGCGGCTCCGTTGCAGATGCCATCGGGGAAGCAGACTCCGTTTGTGCCCTCTCGGTGCGCGATGCATCGCAGGAGCATCAGATTGTAGATGTGTTGGTTCGGTAAGGGCTTTAACTTACTGTAACTTGCATTGACCATCATTGCCAGTTGCGTAAGCGGTTGGCGTTTGGGGGTTCAGGGGTTGTTCATGAAGGGCTCGGAGAATGCTCGGAGTTTCGGGGTGTATGTCATAAGGCTTGCAGGACCCAGAGGCTTGAAGATCGGACCCAGAGACTTGAAGATCCATTGGTTGAGGGTCCATTCTCGAGAATCCCTCGAAAAATCGGGGGGGGACTCGGGGGGGTCTTCGGGGTACTCCCAGGTTCCTCAATCAAGGTGCTCCGAGCTGGGATCTGAGGGAGGGTGCATCTGAGGGAGGGTGCATCTTTTCGTGCTTTTGGGACAGCATCATGGCTCGGGAGGCATCGCAGGGGATTTTGCCCAGAGGATCAAAGCTCCTGGCAGCAATGGGTTTAGGGTTTAGGGTTTTCATCAACGAAGCCTGCTGCAAAAGGGTTGATCAAAAAAGGGACTTGAAAACTCTGACCCCTTCGATCTGTCTTGAAGGAGGAGTTGTGCCAGGATCGTCAGACCCCGGTTATCTTTCTCTAGACCCTCAGCCCTGGAGGAACCCTATTAATGTAGTCATATAGCCAGAAGGTTGGATCAGCATTCTCCTCACCCTTAACATAAAGTACACGGGATCCTAGCACTAATCCTCTTAAGCCCACGTTCCATTTTTTTAGGATTGACTGTAGTAGCCCTATAAGTACAAAGTCCTGCAATACAGGACCATTTCGAAGATTCAGTCATTCACCCCTGACGACCCTGAACCGTAAGCCTCTCGCAGATCAACGTCGCCTGGCATGTCATAGTTGTGACTGCTGAAACCTTGCTCTATGGGGATCAGCCTTCACTGCAGGAGTTTGCCTTTGGTGCCGTCTGGTCCCAACTCTGGGCTTTCCTCGGGTGGTACAATGCGATCCTGGGCTGCATGTAAAGGGAAGAAATGTACGTAGGGTTGCCAACCATTTAGGTTCTATAAGTGGTTTCGTTGGGGGCAGGGGGGATGTCCTTAAGAGTACAAACCCCACTACTGTCTGCATCTTTCGAGGTCCACGTTTCTTGAAATTCCCAGGCCCAAGCGGTATCATTGAAGCAGCGTTACGGTTGCCATTGATGACGACTTTTTATCCTGATGAAGGCTGGCACGATGAAGGCTGACGACCATGATGAGTATCAGGATGATGATAGTTAAAGCCGTGAATATGATCCCGGTCATCATCATCATCATCCCCGAATCATCCCCGGTGTTTGGCTGTTGACCCTTTGCAGGCGACTCGTTCGCAGCTGAATCCGCATAGTATACCTATCTTTGGTAGTTTAAAGCAATATTGCATGTAAGTAAAATACATAGCACGTTATACACAAAAAAGGCGAGGGAGGTGTAGCATCACAAGCCCGAACAATAGGTGACCAGCGCCCGAAAGATTCAGCAGCCATGCCAAAAATTTGCAGCAGCGGTGCACATCTGCTACTTTGGGAAAATGTCAGAGAGTACACACTTGGAAGCGTGCCCATATTGAGGCTTCAGCAAGGTTGCTTTCAATCCCACCAAGGTTTCCTGTTGCAATATACAAGCTCCACTCAAGACCAAAGGTACTCTTTTTATGCATATAGAAGCTGTAGTAGCAAATGTAGTATATGATGAGTATATAATGTCTTCGGTCAAACTCATCTCAACCCAACAAAACCCTGCCACGCTCAGCCCCCAAACCCGCAAACTGTAGAAACTCCAAAGGTTGAGGATTGTAGGGACTCCCAACCCCAAATCTTACTATATCCTAAACCCTACGTATATGCCCTAAAATAGCTCGATGTACCTCGAGGCACTGACTGCGCGGCCAGAGACCTCATCTGGCAAATCCGAATTGTGAGAGCATATAAACCCTGCCACCATAGTAGGTTACTAACTCACCCTATAATTTTTTGCCCTCAGAAATTAACCCAACAAAAATTCGGCAACCGGAGGGCTAGGGCCCTAAGGGGCTACTATCTTCCCTAAGCCCTTAACTCTGAACCCTACCTTTTTTTAACTGGGCTTCTCTGGACCTCTCGAGGATGCAAGTCGTGATCATCCCCTGGGTCGCTTGGCATAAGCCCAAAGGGGTCCTGGGTAGCTACATGTGGGGGGATACTTACCCAAACTGTGATAGTAATTCCCATTGTAGAACCCCTGCATTCCGACCTTTCGGGTACCCTAAACCCTAAACCCATAAGGTCCTACCATGTGGGTGTGTAGGACCTTTTGGGCAAGAAGGTATAAGAGGGCTGATAGGCTTTTTGAGCAGGAAGCTGGAGGGTTATGGATTAAAGATGAATCAAAGATGGTTTGGCAATTTCTAGGGTTTGCGGACTCAGGACCCAACGCTTGGGGCTTAAGGAGGTGTGTGGGCTCCTGGCGGTAGGGTTGAATTAAGAGTTGCACATTGAGACTTCCCCCTAACCCCTATAAGCCCTCAACCCTACCCAAGAAAAACCCAAGAAAAGCCTAGACCCTTAAACCCTCAACCCCCAAGCTTAAACCTAAACCAACCCCCTTATAAGGCCTATAAGGCAAAGGCCCCAAAAAGCCCCAGGTTTGCCTTCGGATGTTCTCCAGCTCAGCCTTGGCCTAAACCCTAAACCCTAAACCCTAAACCCTATAAGTGGGAGGGAAAATCCCTATAAGGCCCAGAGTCCCAGGTTTGCCTTTGGATGTTCTCCAGCTCTGTCTTGGGCATGGCCCGGTTTGCACGCTTCCAGCTCCTTGGGCTGGTCCATGAACAAAGGGTTTAGGGTTCAGGGTTTAGTAGGGTTTAGGGTTTAGGGTTTGTTTTTGGGCCTTGGGGTTTGATTCCATATAGGGTTAGTTATGTAGGGCATTCAGAGTAGGTACAGGATCATTCTGTAGGAGGCTGGCGGGATCTTTGGAGGCTTTTGGGGCCTGGCGCTTTTCGTGGGGCAAGCTTTGGGGATGTAGAGCAAAACATCTTCAGGCATGGGCTCGTAGGCGTTTCTTGTAATCATTGCGAGCACTTGGGGTATGTACGAGTTTCGTTTTCTGCTTGACAAGATCATAGATTTTTGAGCGTTGAAGCCTAGCGCACGCCCGGCTCAGCAGGTCTTCTGGTATGGTACAAGTAGCAACCGACCCTGCGTCATGGTTTCTGCTTGGGACGCTTCAGGCTAACTATCTGGATTGACGGCCGCACGGGAGACGAACCGTTGAAGAGTGTGACATGTCAGAGGCCTATAGTCTGGTTTATCGCCACGCCAAACATGTTACACTTGAGCACTCAGTGTAGAGGCCCATGCGACGGGATTGGGTTGCGAGTGGCATTTTTGCCAAGGAAAGTATTTCTACCTAAACCCTAGACCCCTGTTACTGTTTTCACACCCGACTGCGCTTGAGACCTCGCCTGGATTGTCCGAGTTGTGAGAGTTTAAATGTACCCTAATTTGTTTAGTGCGATACCCGCCGCCATATGAGCCCTGAACGGCCCTCTCGATCCACGTCTCGATGGCTTAAGGGTCGTGTTGTTAGACCGACATTTTGGAGCCTGGGTGCCCCGCCGTCCGGTTCCTAACAGAGGTAACAGAAGGGCCAATACCTACCGATATGTACTAATTTTGGGTTCCTTGTTATGCGTAAAATATGATATAATTAGCCAGGAGAAGCGAGAAGCCACGATAAAGGTACTTAACCCGTGCAGTAACCCGGAATTATAATTCGGAGCTCTTGTAGCAGCATATAGCAGCCCATAGAGCAGGATGCTTGCAAAAGCCATCAGACCAAGACGTCATGCAAGGTATCAGATCTTCCGCATTAGCATCGACACCTTGCTACTCATGTTCCTCTCGGTTGCCATCCAGGCAGCACCAATGTGCAAGAGTTTTCTGGCTTCTGCAGTGGTAGCAGGTTTATTGGCTCGAGGCTTCTATGAAGCGCTGTGTGCTTCATGTTGGGCTGTCTTCTTGCAAGGATCGTGGGTCTCTGAAGCGGCCTCCACCTCTTCATGAAATGTTTGTGAGCAGCTGGCACGATCTGACTCTTTGTGCTTGCTAGAGCTTCGCACCGACTCCTGCACCATGCAACTGTAATTAGAAGTTTCGGCTTTGTGGGGACAAGATAAGAAGACTCGCCTTGTGTGCTGCATCACCGCAGAAGGCGAAACCTTATCAACTGTCGTTAGCATCATCATACTCACCGTTGTCATCACCATCGTCGTCGTCGCGGCTGTTGCCATTTCTTAGTGATTGTCCTTGGCATTGTTGCTGGTGCCTGCTTGCTGTTTGTCGTGAACCCTTATCCACGAACAACGTGCTGAGGCCTCAAAGCCACTACACCGGGCTGTCTGAAACCTATGGGATCGTTCTGATCCTGCCGAATCAGAAGTTCGTAAACCCTAGCGGGGTTTGTGGATAAGTTTCACCCCTCCACAGGAAACTGACGTATGACCCCCATGGTATACACCCGGATTCCTCGTGAGGGCAGTCACAGGGATGGGCCCCCCCAACCTCGGATCCTCGTGAGTGTTGTGGCTTTTGAAGCTATGCAACTTCGTGGCGTGTCCAAAGTGGCGACACTCACCTGGATGAACCACGGTTTCGGTTTGCGCCGCGCCCAGCTGCTGACCCTCAACCCTAAACCTTGTCAACATGTCTATAAAAATAGCCCAAAACCCACCACCATGAACCAAAAAGGGACGAGGAAGGTTAAACAACCCACGTAAACAACCCCACCCACACCACAGGGGGGGAGGGGGGGGCCGGCGGGGGAAGCATAATGGGAGGGGGAGGGGGGATACCATGGGGGTGGGGGGGGGTCGGGCGACGCTGCACCATGTATCCACAAATCCCGTACCCCTAAACAGCTCTTCTCCCTTCTCGCCTGGACTCGTCCGACTGTGAGTGTCAAAAACCACCGGAAAAGCAAGTGCAAGATTGGTTCATCTTGGTGGCCCAGTAACCCTAAACCCTAAACCTCGTCGTACCAGAGGAACCCTCGCCCAGGCATGTCCGAGTGTGAGTGCTGAAACCCTAAACCCCAGCCAAAAAGCAGGTGGAGGTTTTGTTCACCTTGCACACCCAATATCTAGCCCTAATTACCCCTAAACCCTAAACTCCTAAACCCCAACAAAAAATGCAGGTGGAGGACTGGTTCACCTTGGGGACCCAGTACGTCCAATGTTGCATGAGCAAGGCCGTGCGGAAGCGCTACAGGTGGGGACCTTCAGCTTTTCGGTCCCGGCTTCGGCTATCTGCGTTAAACTCTTAAACTCTATCAGGGTTACGATTAAGATTCTTGCTAGTTGTATTACTATTATTAATTATTAAGTATTATTATTACTATTATTACTATTACTATTATCATTATCCTTTTTTGTTATGGTTATTTATGAGTAGTATTCTTCTTCTTATTATTATTATTAAAAATAGTATTCTTGTTATTGTACAATAGCTCCCTTAAAGCACCAAAGCCCCGAACCCCAACCCCTTAAACCGTAAAGCCAGCATTTTTACGCGTTGGAGGGCTGTAACTATAGAGGTTATAAGGCGGCATGCAGTGGATTTGATGTGCGTCCCTGTCAAGCTGCTGAGTTGATGAGCTAGGGTTTGATTCTTGAGGCATGATGAGCGCTGTTGTATTGCGGGTCTGCAAGAGTCATAGGGTGTGATGCATTGGGATTACCAGCAGCCTCAGCCTGCGGAAATCATCTTCAGGTCTTTATACTCCAGGTTTTCCTCAGGATTTGTTTTCATGAAAAGCTACTGTTATGGAGATTGTCGGTAGAAGAGGGTTATAGATGAAAGCTCGAGAGTTTGGGGTGCCCTAAACCCTAAACATAAGTCCCATATCCTAAACCCTAAACCGTTTGTTGTCCCCTAAAGGGACCCTAGGTGCATCGGGCCTGTTCGACCGCGTAGGCTAGAGAGAGACCTCCGGCGCGCGCAGACCTTCTCGGACTATCAGAAGGCCCCCGCCGGGACCTGCAGGTAGGGTTTCGGATTTAGGGTGTTAGGCTCCCAGTCCCAAGGTAGCTCTATCGATAGATGCCTGAATGGCTGGTAAGCTTTCTGGCTAGCATGGAGCGTGCCAGGAAGGTTTGGTTGTTTGCTGGTGCTGCTAAGAAACTCGAGCATAGTCTATGCATTATGCACAAATTTCTGGTTTGTTTCCTTGAGTTGGGTTTGGGGCCCACCTCGCACAGTGAGTTTCTTTATCTTAAGAAGTCCTTGGGTCCAAAACTCCGGTTAAGGGCAAAGGTTGATTTCAGAATGACCATAGCCGTAGACTTCAAACCCGTTCCGCCCGCGCGTTGATACGAGGAGGTTAAGGTTTGAGGGTTTGGGGTTCAGGGTTAGGGTTTAGGCTTTATAAGGTTTAGGGCCAAGTTTAGGTTTTAGCGATTAGGTTTACAGGCTGGATCTGCCTCCAAAGGCGCATAATAGGCTGCAGGCTACGCATGCCACTACCCGCAGTCCTCAAGTTGTTCAACCCCGCACGCTACATTACAGCAGAGTACGGTGCAGAATACATTATACAGACTTTGCACATGTAGTTCTATGCATAAATGTGTGCATATATTCTGTGCATATCTCATATCTTTGTAAATCATAATTTGATAGATAGATAGATAGATAGATAGTAGACAGATAGATAGATAGTCAGATAGATAGATAGATGGACAGAGAGAGAGAGAGAGAGAGAGAGAGAGGGAGAGAGAGAGAGAGAGCGACACAGAGAATGAGACTTATGCACGCAGGTGATTGCACATTCATTCATGCATACATACGCACATCATACAATGCATTCATTCGAACATTCATTCATTCATTCATTCATTCATTCATTATTTCATTTCGTTTCATTTCATTTCATTTCATTTCATTTCACTTCCTTCCTTCGTTCATTCATTCATCATGCATGCATACAGGCACATATACATGCCTTCGTGCACTTCTATGAACCTGTGGTAACCTGGCTTCCGGGAAGCTTCGCGATGACAGGCAGAAGCAGCTCTTGAGCGATTTCGCAGTAAGCACTCTGAGTCTTGGACTGCAAACCTTAATTTAGGGTTTGAAGTTGGAGGTTTCCTAGGGAGGCGTAGTGTAATCATGGAAAATTGCAATCTTGGAGTTCTACAGGACTAAATGGGCGTTTCTTCGTGCCACGATCCCGTGCAAGTCGGCTTGTGGATACGTGTGTGAAGGAGTGAGATGGCTGCATACAAGCTCTTGCATTTTCAAAGCGCAAAGTGAAAACCGGGAGCTACACCCTGTAATCTAGAAGTCCGGCTCCAAACAGCCTCAAAGACTTGACTTCGATGTTGAAGGCGTGGAGCCCCAAATGCATTAAATCATGAGTCCCAATACGAGTAGAGGGTTGAGACATCGACCTTGTAGGACCCCAATAAACTCTGGAAGTCAAAACCCGGAACCCTCGGCCCAAAGACGCCTTAAACCCCATCGCCATCCCCCCTTATAACACGCCCTAAACCCTTAAACCCTAAACCCTAAACCCTAAACCCCTAAACCCTAAACCCTAAACCTAGTCATGCCCCAAAGGACGACAGCTGCGGCCGCCTTTGCCGGCGGCCCAGCACTGGCCGCCTTTCGAAGGGCTGCAGCTTTCTGGAGCATCTGGGGGCAGCTTGGCTTTCGAGTTTGGGGGCCTGAGGGTTTAGGATGTAAAAGGGTCCAGGATGTAGGGCTGAAGGGTTTGAGGGTTCAAGAATTTTGGGCGGGGAGTTTGTTTTAATTGCCTGCTTAGGCTGCCGCTGGAGGTTACTTCGCTCGTCCGGCAGATGTCGGGGTCCTGGGTTCTGCAGCACAGGGCCCCGGACAACTTTTTATCTCCGATTCACGGGCATGGCGTGCACTGTGCGTGATGATGGAACGGACATGCCCAGAAACCCTGAGTGGTGAGCGAGGAAGCCTAGAAGCCTTGCAAGGGGAAGCGCATAGGGTCTAGGGTTTAGGGTCAAGCCTTATTGGCTCTAGCCCTCCAAAAAACCCTCTCGACAGGTGCTGAAGCAAGAGCTTGAGAAAGCCCTGGCCGCAGACACCTCTTCGAAGCAAGATCTCTCGCTCATTGAGCCGTGCCACGGCTTCTCTAAGGGTGTATAAAGGCTTGATACGGCCATTATGAGCGTAAGTAAGGGTCTAGTGATTCTAGGAGAGTTTCCCGGGGAATGTTGAAGGCTGTAGGTCCATTGTAGGTGTTGGTTGAGGAGAAGCAGCAGCTGCTCATGATGATGGATGTTCAGCCAAGCTGAATCAATGCAGGCTTCTTGTCGATCAGCCCGGTGGAGTGGAGTGGAGCCGTGTGCCCAACTCGGAGGAGTGCCCGCGCTGAATCTTTAGAAGTCTTCGTCATAAGTGTCCAGCGACTGTGCAATGTCTAGCATAGCCAGGCCATACCAGCAGTCATCATTATACAACGACGCCGATGGTAGCAGCGGAAGTCAAATCCCTGGAGTCATTCGCAGCAGCATTGCCGCTGTGAGCGCGAGAATCGATAGCACCTTCCAGCATCGTAGCAGCAGCAGCATCATCACCATCACCATCATCACCATCATCATCATCATCACCATCATCATCATCACCACCACCATCATCATCATCATACTCATCAACATCATCAACATCATCACCATCATCATCATGAGTGTTTTCAAGGGCAGCTCCGACGCCAGCATCATGATTGCCATCTCACTCGACAAGAAGGATAATGCCTACCCATAGTCTTGAAATGCAGTAAGACTCATTGTAAGGACTAGTACCCTTTTTGGTTGTTACTACTATAGTGATGACCTTTGCCTGAGCCCTTCAGGTATTTGAAGAAACTGTGTCACTGCTTGGAGGCGGGCAGTTCGGCCAGCTATGTTGATGTTCCTGTTTTCCTTCACCCTCGCACCCTCAACCGTGATGGACCCCATAGTTACGATTCACTACTTGCTACCCCTAGACCCTAAACCATAAAACCCTGTTTGGTAGAGCTCAGGGGTTACTTGCAGGCCTTCAGGCTTCGATTGCCTGGTGCGTGAGCTTTGACGTCAGGACTTCCAGGCCCGAGTATGCGGTTTCGGGTTCGACGCGAGTGTATGATAAGCTTGAAGGTTTAGGTTTAGTGTTTCACCTACACTATCCGTTATCCGGGGGTTTAGGGTTCATAAAGGCTAAACCCCTAAACCCCTATAAACCCTAAACTGTAAATCCTAAAAAACCCTAGGCCGAACAAAAACAAACCTTAGCTTAGAGGCGATGTGCGACAAGCGAGTGGCAGCTGGCGAAACCTTCGGAGCTTCAGAGCTGAGGCAGTCGGGGTTTTTGCGGGGTGCAGGCGTTAGGGTTGAGAGCTTATAGGGTTTATAGGGTTTTGGGCGTTAGGGTTGAGAGCTTATAGGGTTTATAGGGTTTTGGGCTTTAGGGCTGAGAGCTTATAGGGTTTATAGGGTTTTGGTTTTTAGGGTTGAGAGCTTATCGGGCTTCTAGGGTTTTGGGCTTTAGGGTTGAGAGCTTATAGGGTTTATAGGGTATTCGGCTTATAGGGTTTAGGGTTTAGGGTTGAGCCTCTGTAGTGTTTTTAAGGCTTCGGGTTTGGGGTTCAAAAGGGTCTGGTGTCAGAAGGGATGGGGGTATCATGGTACTCGCGTATCTGCGAGTCATGAATGTGGTTGGATCTTGTGAGACACTGCTGAAGATCCGGCTCTGAATCTTAGCCTCGGGCCTGTTAATTTCCTCGATAGTACCTGATTGGAGTGATTATCATTGAACCTGGGGTGGATCCAAAGTATTGTGTGGAGTACATGGCGCATGCTTGAAAAGGGGTTGAGGGGCCCTGGATGTTGGGTTGTAAGACGTCGTTTAAAGGGCCTTGCAGGCTGGCTACAACCTAAACCCGAAGCCCTCCGGGTAGATCTCAAGAGTCGGCTGCATGAGTAAAACGATTGCCATTAGAATTAGTCGTGTTGGCTTTATGCTTAATGTGGCTCCTGTCATTATAACTGTGTTTTTATGTTTACTAGTACTGTCACATTGTGTCGGGAATCCGAAAAATTAACTGAAAAGTGAATTTTGGTAATCTCGGTCACCTTGCAATCTTGGTCCAAAAGCAAGATTGCCAGCAATCTTGAAATCGTGGTCATCTTGCCCCACTTGCTCGCCGACTAGGTTACCCTTTTAGACCAAGCAAGGTTGCTGGCACTCTTGAACCTCCCCCCAAAGTGGGGCAAGATTGCAAGATTGCTTGGCAAACTTGCTGAAATGATTGTTCTAGATTCAGTGCACTCATTATTGTTATTCTGGTCACGAATGCTTTGTTCTATACTACTGCTATTCATTATTATTGCTGTTCTTACTTTTGGTGTCGCTATTGTTGTTATTCTTATATAGGCTCATTCTTGTTCTTACTGTCAGCATTTTTTATGGTTATCATTATTCTGAATGTTATTTTGTTTCTTCTTGTCATTCATTGTTAAAAGTCTTATTCTGCTGATCAGGGCTACACTGTTCGTATTCTAGTGACTAGGACGTTCATGCTACTGGTTTCCCAAGCTCGATAAGTATGACTTTGTAAGGTTTGAAGAAATTAGCTTTATAGCATCCATATCATATTCCCCAAGGCTCGGCCTTCAAGGGATTCCTAAATAGGCACCACTTCAAGGCCTAAGTGCATACTAGATAAACGACATTGGGCCTTAGGGATGATGAGGCCCTAAACCCTAAACCCCAAACCCTAAACCCTAAACCCCAAACCCCAAACCCCAAACCCTAAACCCAAACCCCCAAACCCCAGACCCTAAACCCTAAGCCCCTATTTTGAGGCTTGCAGATTGGCTCATCGACCGGCAGAAGGCCCTTGGCCGAACGGCCCTGTGCCTCAGTGGCGGAGGATCGCTGGCCATGCACCCTGCCTTGGGTTTAGGATTTTTTTCTGGGTTTAGGGTTTAGGGGCCTTGGGTTTAGGGATTTGGGGCTTGGGGTTTAGGGCTTAGAGGGATTTGGGGTTTCGGGTTTAGGCTTCGGGGCTTGGAGTTTAGGGCTTAGGGTTTGAGGCTTAGGGTTTAGGAATTGGGGTTCGGGGTTTAGGGTTTAGAGACTTAGGGTTTGGGTTTGAGGGTTTTTTGGGGCATGGTCTTGGAGTTAAGGCGGTTCAGGGCTTAGGTTTGGAGGCGAAGCGCACTTAGTATGGGACTCAAGCATTATGGTTTGCATGGGAGTGGCGGCTTTGGGGCTTGCAGGGTTGCTAAACCTCAATCCCTACAAACCTTGAAGCAAGGTATCACATGGGAGTCTGCCGCTTCCTCCTCGAGGCGGGATGCGTTTTTGTCAGCACCCGGTTTTGCAGCAGAGAGTGTCGACGCCTGCTAAAGAGAGCAGTCACCAGAGACGGCTCATCTAGATCGTTTTGCTTCCACCAGCTGACAGGCTCTTCAGTCCAAGGGTCGCGTCGGCATATGTGCAGCGATGAAATAAGACACTGATCTAAGCGTGAACTTGCGCCACAAAACCATTTGTTGGTCGTTGCAGTCAAAGAGTGCTCCTTTCGCGCGTGCCGCAATGGTGCAAGTGGCGCAAGTAGAACGGCTATCTTGCAAGGAGGAGACGGAAAAAGCCAAGAAGACAAAAGCCAGAGATTCATGGATCCTCTTCGTTCTCATTTGCCTCAACTTCTTTTCATGCCAGTTTGGCCACGGCTCCAACATCGGGGTGGCTGTTTCGCTCCCTGGGGACTCGAAGGCCACGAACTTGGCACTCGGCTCGTTTGTGATGATTGGCGTTAGCTTGGGGCTGCCTCTTACACCATGGGCGTGCAGGACCTTCGGGGAGTTCAACGTCGTCATCGTGTGTACCATCCTTGATGTCATCGCAATGTTGCTCATGACCGTGCCTGGCATCACAATACACCAAATCTACGCAGTCCGCTTCCTCGTGGGCTTCTTCGAGGCACCCTTTCTTCCCTACTTGCAGAAGTGGCTCTCTAAGCATGGGTGCAACAACTGGAACTTTATGAATACGACCTTACATGCGATGGTGCCTCTTGGTGAGAACGTGGGCTTCATTGTCGCCCAGGAGTTGGACAATGCTAAATATCACTGGAAGTGCCCTGGTTGCACTTTTGCAAACTCTTGTATAGAGTTCGCTTTACTTTTCTATAGGGGTACCTGTGCATAGACTTCTGGGAGGGCACTCAATTCGCAACCCAGGTGGGCTTTTGTTGGGCAGGCCGCCGTTTTTGGTGGCACGGCTCTGCTGTGCCTGGCCTACGGTGGACGTCAGTACTTGGAGCTTTCGGACGATCGCACGGACAGCGAGGAGGATCTCGAGAAGCCGACAGGTGAAGTGGAGTCTTAGTAGCATGAGCTGGACAACTTTTTTGTTCAAGCTGTTGAGTTGTATCACCACGTTTAGACATGAACCTTTGGCTTTCATCTGTGAGTTAAAGCGCTGAGGAGTACCCAAGCACCGAGCGGTGGGGTGTCTACTGGGCGACCAATGTGTCCCTGGCAGCACAACTTGGTTTTCTCGGTGGGTGCAAGTACGTCATTCGAGACTACGCTATCTCGCGCGGCTTTGGCCTGCACGTCGTCGTATTCACCTTCGCGCTCATTGCCTTGATCGGCCCAGCCCTTGGTGGCAGCATCGCCATGTCAGGGAGCGTGGTGCAGCCGGACAAGTGGAGTCAGCACCGGAGGACCCTCATCTTCCTTGCGTGCGTCTCCAGCACGGCCGCAATGCTCGCATCCATTCTCCCCTATGTCTCAAGCACTTTCTTTTGGCCGGCCTTGTTCCTAGGTAGGCCTTCGGGACATTTTATATTGTCCCTTGTTGGGCTTAAGTGGATGATATTCACGAATAGCTTTCAGAAGCTTCAAAGGGACAACCTAGGTTCCTAACTTTCTGCATCGCCGGCGGCGTCTACCCGGCAGCGCAGGGGATCATCCAAATCGCGCTGACCAGGAGCCGCGTGATCGAAGCCTCCGTTTCTTAGTAGCTGAATGGGTAGACTTTGCACTTTTTTAGGGGTAATGTGGTTTAGGGTTTAGGTTATTATCCCCTATAACACTGCAAGATTTTCTTTTTTTGCTTATGAACTCAGCAACTAAGGTCTATCAGACGCAGTGCAACAACCTCCTCTTCGCCATGCCAATGCCCTATGGCATTGGAAGCTTATCAGCGATTATGAAGTTCCCCAGTATCCGACTTTTCCACTGTAACTTTTCACCAGAATCCAACTTTTTCCGCTCTAGCTCCTTACAACCATCTCGCATCCTTCTAGAAATTCATAGAAGATCCCTTCATTTTCTTATGGGAGAGCCCCGTATACCCCTAAGCCCTCAAGCTTGAGAGTCAGGAATTGCTATGGACTCATGGAGCATCGGAGCCTCATTCCGCCTCGTGGCCCTCTTCCAGGCGATGGCAGACAAAAGCCCAAAAGGCTACCTATAGTCTCCATTGTAGTTCCTTTTTGGGGTTACCTTTTGGGATCCTGAATATAAATTTGGTTAAACCAGAAAAAGGAACTATACAATGGAGACTATAGGCTAAAACCCTTAATCCCGCATCCCGAATCAAGCCACTTGCCCTGCGTACACCTGTCCTAGAAGCCTAAATCCTTTACCCTGCAATGCGGGCTCGTCCTTGCCAGGTAGGAGGGAAAGATATACAACACGTCAACCCAAAAGGCCCTCCAAACCCAATGGGCCCAACAAATGTGAAACCCTAAGCCCCCTTCCAGGTGATGGCCGCCGCGGGCTTCTCCTTGGCCGTACTATCGGCGGTCACTGGGCCTTCGTTAAGCTTTCTGGACTTGTGGGTTTCCGGCGTATGATTTGCACTTCAGGGTTCAGGCTTGAAGCTAAAAGCAGGGATATCTAATCTGTAGGTTTGGGATAAATTTGGGCTTTTAATTCTTACAGTGAGCAATGTGCTCGCCCCTGTATGTTACCTGAATCCAGGATTGGGGTGAGCAGCGCAGCACGTGGAATCGGCTGACATCCCCATCCGCGCAGTCCGCGCAAGACACAGCAAGCCTTCTCGAGGAGGGGAAATCGCCCAATGTGGAGCTCATGAATGTCTCCGACACAGTCGCAAAGGAAGAGAGGAATCATCTTCACCAAGGTCACTGATCTATGCCTTCACTGACCGCCAATGCTTCATGTTTCACCCTCTAGCTTTGTCTTCCACACGGAGTTTCAGATTTGACATCGCGCCCTTCTGACTAATCAGTTTCATGCAAATTCCCAGGCAAGAAAAATCGATGGACCAGCTGTGTGCAGATGTAGCAGTGCAGGAGGCAAAACCTAGATCACCTGTCCGGCTTATCAACTCTGCGGAAAGCCAGGAAGGGCTGATGCCAAAGATCGTCAGCGGAGTGTCCGGCGGCTCGATTGTCGCCGGATTTCTGGCCATCCACACGAACGAGGAGATCCGGCGCATCCAGTTAGACGACTCGGGTTGCATAGCTTAAGTTGTATGTTTATGTATAGGTCTGTAGATACAGGTTGCGCCTATATAAATTTACTGTGTGCTACACTGTAAACCGATCTGAGATACATCACAAAGTTTAAACACACGCGCACACACACAGTAACAATACATATATATATATATATAGATGTAACATACACATACACACGTCTGTGCATGTGTGTGTGTGTACTTACACATAGGTAGATAGATGGGTGAGATGGCGAGATAGCTACACAGATCGATGTGTAAGTATGTATGCGTTCACATATTTATATGCAAACACGAGTATGTGTTCATGTTATGTGTTTATGTGTATGTATGTATGTATGTATGTATGTATGTATGTATGCATGTATGTATGTATGTGTATATATATATATGTATATTCACAAAGAGCACGTAACTCCCTCTATGTAATGTATGTATATATGTATGTATGTATGTATGTATGTATGTACGTATGTATGTATGTATGTATGTATGTATGTATACGGGTGTATATATATATATATATGCACACATGTACGCTTCGTGCATGGTGACGTAGACAGAGATATGCAGACATGGTATCGGGATCCTTTCAGTGCCGGCGAGGGATCATGTTAGCATGTATCATGCGTTGCCCCTAGCAATGACTAGCCTTAGAATGCACCGGGTAACAACCTCGAGCCTTTCATTCAAGATCTTGAAGGCTTTTGGTTTTAATCTAGAGTGCTGATAATTTGAAACATGTGTTGGGGTATATCAAGTATACCATTACACTGATAAGGACTCCCGAGAAACTACTACTCAATGGTAAGGCTTCTATTTTCTGGCTTCTGGTGACTTCGAGTTGGGGCCTGCACCCTGATGAGGAGATCTTGGACCATGTTTTTGTGCCGGGCATTGTGCGCCGGCATTTGCCTCATCGATGGTTCCCTCACTGGTGGCAGGACACGGGGTTTCTACACTCAGCCAAGCCTTAAACCCTGAACCCGAAGTTGTGCACTTTTGTTGCCACTGCACTCAAAACTCGTACAGTAGTGGCAATAAATCTTGCCACTAGAGGCAAAAAGTTGCCACTGGCATTTTCATTTCCATAAATGTCATGACAGCCGATGTTCTTAGGAAAACCGTCAACACTTTCGGGGCACTAAAACAGGTCATGACAATCGGCAATTCCTCGAAAGGCCAAGTCTTGGTTTTTTCTAGGGCTTGGGGTGCAGGCATGTCCTGGGAAATGCTTGATGAGGTCACGACTCTGCGAATAGTTGGAGGGAGAGTGCACGCAGGCATTTACCATCGAGTCCGGCAGAGCTAGGTCACTTTGTAGGAATAAGGTTATGGCTGTAGAAGAGCAGACTTTTGTACATTCAAGCCCTGAACCAAAGGCCCAGGTGCTTCCGTTGGTACAACTTCGATATACTCAGTAGCGTCGACTTACCCGCACCCGAAGCTCCCATGTGCCACGCGAATGCGCAGGAGCTGGTGAACTTTTTGCGGCTTGGTGTCCCGGGCCCGGAGATATGTTTGTCTCTGACAAACTAGGCTCTAGTAGGTAAGCGCTCTCCCTGAGCCCCTCAACCTTAGGCCCTACGTCCTAATCAAGCTGTTTGAACAATTGAAATGAGGTCTTAGTCATGGACCTCAGAACCCTAAATCTATAAGCAGAAGTACTACATCCCGTGACCCTGACACACAAACGTGTCGAATCCGAGAGCGCTGAACCAAGAGGGATCGAAGTCCCCAAAATCAGTACTTCAAATCCTGGAGCAATGTGTTGAGCCTTTGTATAAGCCCTACATAAAGCTCAGGGCTCAAATCTCTGACTCGAGCCTCGAAGAATTCTGGAGAACCCGACGAGTTTTGAGTTTTTGGCTCGTCAGGTCCTGGTCCCAACGAAGGATTTCGAGGACTCTGGTGATAGTATAGGGGCCTTAATAATTCGAATAGGGTTTGGGGTATATTGTACTATAATCATAATAAGGAGCCACCAAAACCCTAGTCTAATTTATTATTAAAGCCCCTACATTAGGCGATCGTGTTTTAGCTGAGGTGTCGAGCAATACAAGGGCCTGATGAGCCGGGAATGATATTCCTCCGGATTCCTGAATATACCAGTACAACATGCCCAGTCCTTCGGGTTCCTGAATATACCCATTCCTTCCATTCCTTAGGGTTCCTGAATATACTGAAGCCCTATGCTCAGACTCAATCCTTAGAACCACGGGCCCAAAACCCCCTACTATAGGAGCCTAAATATTTACCACTACTATTTTGGCGGTTCGTTACTATTCTTATAGTAGAATATACCCCAATACCCTATTCTAAGGGGCTCGAGCGATTGCAGGTCAGGGTAGCTCCCAGCTCTGGCCATAGGAGCCATGGCGGCAAACTCGGCTGCGTTGCTCGCAGCAGCTGTTCGTGCCGCTGTTTTGGCGAGAGCGCCCAGGAGGACCGTACAGTCGGTTGCTGCAGTGGTGACAGCCGTTCTCTTACGGCCTGCGTCACCCGTGGCCCCGCCTGCTACGGACACTGGGATGCCCGCTGAAGCTCCGAGCGCCGATGGTGGTGCTCGTGAAGAACAGTTGGTGTTGCATCTTCGTGCGGTTCGCGCTGCTAAGAGGAAGGCTAAGCGCCAACGGCGTAAGTCCAAAGCTACGGCGGCTGCTGCGGACCCGGCTCAATGCAATGACGTGGTCGTGGCTACACCAGCTGCGACACCTACAAGTGACAAGTCTGTACCGTTGCCTGGAGCTGCGTGTGGGAAGCGCAAGACTTCAGACGAGGGAGATGCAGAGATGACAAATCGCGTGACAGGCACTGTGCTGGGCAGGCAGCAGTCAGCCGCGGTGCAGCCAACCAATTGGGAAGAAGCAGAATGCGTGGACATTTCAAGTTGCCCTCTACCTGGTGGTGCTGCCACTGCGTCTGCTGGAAGAGGGGGAATGCACGCTGAGCTGGGCGGGCAGCGACCAGCTCGTGAGGCCGTGTACCCAAATACATGGGAAGAAGCCGAACAACTTGATCGTCGCTCCTGGTCTCGTAGAGCTGCCACTTCTGCGAACAGGGGAGGAGGAACAAAGAACCGTGCGGGCCAGCCGCCTGCTTCCGGCACTGCTGTTGGGCATGGTCGAGGCAAGGGCCCCTATTAATTAAGAAATGGCGCGAAGAGCTCCATGCCTCTTTTGTGGTTGCTTGCAATAGTCAGGCTCTGTCCATTAAGCGCGTCAGCACAGCTCTGATGCCAACCAGCTTGTCGAACAGACTTCAAGTCCGACTCCAC